TGAAAAAATTATTGAAATCCCCTAGCCAGACTTATCAAATAGAAAAGTAAAAGGAAACAAATAAAATCACAAATGAGAAAGGAGAAATAACATCCAACACCACAGAAATGCAATTATAAGAGATTATGAAAAATTATTTGCCAACAAACTGTACAACCTGAAGAAAAGGATAAATCCCTAGAAACATAAAAACTACCAAAAGTGAAATAGGAGGAAATAGAAAATTTGAACAGACCCATAAACAACAAAGAAATTGAATCGGTAATCAAAACCCTCCCAACAAACAGAAGTCCAGGTCCAGATGGCTTCACAGGGGAATTTTACAAACATTTAAAGAAGAGTTCGTACCTATTTGTCTTGAAGTATTTTGAAAAAATAGAATCGGAAGGAAAACTTCCAAATTCATTCTATGAGGGCAGCATCATCCTGATATCAAAACCAGACAAAGACTCCACTAAAAAAGACAACTACAGGCCAATATCCCTGATTTACATGGTTGCAAAAATTCTCAATAAAATACTAGGAAATTGAATCCAATCATACATTAAGAGAATTATTCACCACGATCAAGTGGAATTTATTCCCGCATTGCGAAGGTGGTTCAATATTTCCAAATCCTTTTTTTTAAGTTTATTTATTTTTGAGAGGCAGAGACGGAGAGAGAGACTCTCAAGCAGGCTCCATGCTGTCAGCCCCAACACAGGGCTTGCTTTCATGAACCATGAGATCACCACCTGAGCCAAAATCAAGAGTCAGATGCTTAACCAACTTAACCCAGATGCCCCTCAATATTCCCAAATCTATCAACGTGATACACCACATTAGTAAAAGAAAATAAACATATGATCATTTGAATAAATGGAGAAAAATCATTTCACAAAGTACAGCACCGATGCTTGATAAAAACCCTCAACAAAGTAGGCATAGAGGGAACATACCTCAACATGATAAAGGCCATATATGAAAACCCCACAGCTAATATCATCCTCAAAAGGAAAAAAATGAGAGCGTTTCCTCTATGGTAAAGAACAAGACAGGGATGTCCACTCTCACCACTGTTACTCAACAAAGTAATGGACTGTCTAGCCTCAACAGAAAACAAAAAGAAATAAAACACATCCAAATCAGCACGGAAGAAGTCAAATTTTCACTATTTGCAGATGACAGGATATTCTATGGAGAAAATTCAAAATACTCCACCAAAAAATTGCTAGAAATGTACATGAATTCATTGAAGTCATAGGATACAAAATCAGCATATAGAAATCTGTTGCATTTCTATATACCAATAATGTAGCAGCAGAAAGAGAAATCAAGGAATCAATCCCATTTACAACTGCACTAAAATCCGTAAGATACCTAGGAATAAACCTAACCAAAGGGATAAGTGATCTGTACTCTAAAACAATAAAAATCTGATGGAAAAAAATTAAAGTAGACACAAAAACAATGGAAAAACATTCCATGCTCATGGATCAGAGGAACAAATATTGTTAAAATCTGTATACTACCCCAAAATAGACACATATATCAATGGAACAGAATAGAGAACCCAGAAATGGTCCTACAAAATATACAACAAACTACCCTTCGACAAAGCAAGAAAGAGTATCCAATGAAAAAAAGACAGTCTCTTCACCAAATGGTGCTGGGAAAATTGGACAGCAACATGCAGAAGAATGA